GAGAGAGAGAGAGAGAGAGAGAGAGAGAGAGAGAGAGAGAGAGAGAAAGCGCGTGTGTGTGTGTGTGTGTGTGTGTGTGTGTGTGTGTGTGTGTGTGTGTGTGTGTGTGCGTGTGTGTTCCAATGCAACATAAAAATAAAAAATAAAACATATATGATGTGCGCACCTGGCGCATAAGCGGCCCGCCAACGCACACCCCCGGCGCACCCGCGTGCAGCGCACTGTGCATCGCGCACCGCGCAGCCAGGTGCGTGGCGCGCCGGTGCGCACACACCTCGGGTCTGCGCACCACGCACCTGGCTGGGCCGATGCGCCGCAAGTATGCAGCGAAGTCTTAGGGTTGTAGCATTTACCCAAGCTGAAGTTCAGGGGTCAAACTTTGGTCCCGGAACCTTTAGGGAGGATCAGTCCTTACGTCCGTAGGCCTGGGTCAAAGGACAGCCATCACAGCAAAGTCTCAGGGTTGTAGCTTTTGACCAAGCCGAAGTTCGGGGGTCAAGAGTTGGTCCTGGAGCCGCCAGAGAGGATCAGTCCACAGGTCAGCAGGCCTGGGGTCAAAGAAGGGGGTCAAAAGTTGGTCCTGCGGCCTCCAGAGAGGATCAGTCCACAGCTCGGCAGGCCTGGGGTCAAAGGACGGCCATCACAGCGAAGTCTTAGGGCTGTCGCATTTGACCCCAGGCCAAAGTTCGGAGTTCGGGGGTCTAAAGTTTGGTCCTGGGAGCCTCCAGAGAGGATCAGTCCATAGGGCGGTCAAGGTCGGTAAAACATGGATGGTTGTTTGCCCTCAAGCTTTCCTGAATATTCCTGAATTTTCCTGATTGTTCTTAGCCGAAGCGGGGTAGTGGCCCTGGTAGCTCAACTTGTTCCAAGAATTTTCACGAGGGACGCTGGGACCGGTTCCCAGCACGTGTCGCTCCCCACGGTAGATTGGAGCATTTTTTGTTTATAAAAAGGGGGTGAAAAAAGGCAAAGGCCACGGTCAAAGGACAACCATCACAGCGAAGTCTTAGGGTTGTAGCTTTTCACCAAGCCGGAGTTCCGGGGTTAAAAGTTGACCCTGGAGCCTCCATAGAGGATCAGTCTTTAGGTCGATGGGTCTGGAGTCAAAGGGGGTTAAATAAGGCACCCAGGGCCTCTAGAGGTCAAGCCAAGGCCCTAGGTTAGGTAAAATGAAAGCCCCTGCCAGGTACAGTAGAGCCAGGGTCAAAAAAGTTTCCAGAAGTCTACCATGGCCACAGATTGCACACATCCATTTTTTTTTTTATTTTTTTTTTTAAGTTAAAACCAGTGGCCTCTACTAGAGGGGTCAAGGTACACAGTGGCGGCAACAAAATCTGGGCCACACAAGGTTGGCGAATCTTGGCTGTTCAAGGAGGCATCTGGGGGCAGGCTCAGCTGAGCCAGCATTACAAAAGACCGGTCTGCCTCAGCTTGGTCATTAATTCCTCGTTGCGCGTTGCGCTGGTGGAGGTTGCAGTGCTGCTGCTCGAGTGGTGGTTAACGGAGACCCAAAATTTTAGCGTTTTTTTTAATGCTATTTATAACAAAACCCAAAGGCCTTTTTAACCAAAAATTGCATCATACCATAGAGTGCACACTGCACACCATATACACAACCCCCCCCCCCCCCCAAAAAAAAAAAAAAAAGAGACCAGGAAAGTGAAAATTTGGCCAAAAAGTTGAACATGATTTCAGCAATGATAACAGTTTACCCTGTTAACCACTGGTGCGCCTCTGTTTCTTTGTCTGTATTGATGCTGGACTATTTTGCTCTCTCTTTGTGATTATCATTCATTGAGCATTGTGAGTTTCGTGGATGATGTTGATGGATTGAACTTTTAGGACTTGGGTATAGATATATATATATATATCTGTTTGTGACGATATATATATATATGAGTCGGTGAAACTCCGACGAAACAGTTTGTCACAGCCCCTTGTTTGTTGTCCTCTTCTCTCTCTCTGCCTACGGTTTACTGGGCAGTTCTGTTTGTGACGATATATATATATATATATATATATATATATATATATCCCTCTCTGCCTACGGTTTACCGGGCAGTTCTATTTGACGATATATATATATATATATATCAGCCTCCTGATGAGTCGGTGAAACTCCGACGAAACAGTTTGTCACAGCCCCTCGTTTGTTGTCCTCTTCTCCCTCTCTGCCTACGGTTTACCGTCGGCAGTTCTATTTGACGATATATATATACACAGCCCCTCGTTTGTTGTCCTCTTCTCTCTCTCTGCCTACGGTTTAATTGCAGATCAGTCACCCAACTAAGTCCTTCACTAGCTCCTCCATGTCTCTGCGAACAAAGGAGGCAAATCCTCCCTCCGCCAACATCGCTGCGTCGACTTTCTCAGCTGTATTTGGCCATGCAAAGATCGAAAATGCAGTCTGTATATCTTACTAGATTGCCTACAGCAAAACAACTGCCAACATCTGGGACGAGAACCACACAACAGAATAACGATGACACCGAGAAGTTCTGTTCGGCCCAACCGCAAGAGTAAAGTATCGGTGATCCCCAACTGCAAGAGTAAAGTCTCAGTGATCCCCAACCGCAAGATGAAAGTATCGGTGATCCCCAACTGCAAGATGAAAGTGTTATTCGTCCCCACCATATAAAAAACAAGAATCAAAATAGGAATTGATCAATTCCTGTTTTGATTCTTGTTTTTTATATGTATGTCTTGAAAAAACAAAATGTTAATCTTGGAGACGTAAATATGTTAACTTCAAAATTGTTTGTATATACAGTTGTAATATTTTTTATATCTTTATTTATTTTTGGTTTCTTATCTAACGATCCGGGACGTTATCCAGGACGTAAAGAGTAGTTGAATATTTGGATCCAAATTCACGGAAATAGAGGGATTCGAACCCTCGGTACGTATAATAGCGTACAACGGATTAGCTAAGGTGTCCTTGGCCCCCAATAGCAGAATGAAGCGCGCATTGCCAACTTCAGTTGGCAAAGCCGGCACCTGTGTGTGTGTGTGATATATATATATATATATATATATATATATATGTACAGAGAGAGAGAGAGAGAGAGAGAGAGAGAGAGAGAGAGAGAGAGAGAGAAGGCATCATTCTGTTAGGAGAATTTTTATCTTTTTTTTTTTTTTTGACGGGAGCATAACTATCTCAAGCTCATGTTTTGTATCAACTTCACAACATTGTATCTGCACCACATCCATCGATCAGTCTCATCAGCATGAGAGTCCAATCATGGCGTTTCGCCTTTCATTGTGTCCTAAACCATTTGACTTATATAGAAGGGAGTAACATGACACAAAGCTGCATGGTACTACTCCCTAGGGAATGGGTGCCCACCTGCCCTGCCTACCCCTTCCCCAACCAACAACTACCCCCCGACTGAC